ATATAAAATGGATTTTTTTATGTTATTTGGTTTTTTTTTAATGTCAAATATAAGTTTGACGTTAACATAGGATACGTATACTGTACATAATTATTGATGTAAATTTACATTGGTTATGTCCTCCGGTCCGATGAAAATTTACATTGGTTATATCTCCGATTCAACATAAATTTACGTCGAGTATTGATACACCCAACGTAAATTTCGTTATTTTTAATATTCAATTTATTTTGTCGTATGACCAATCCATATTCCAAATTTTCAATAAATAATAATTCAAAAATATAATAATATAATATAATACAAACTGTAAAAGCTAAATTAGTATAAAGACTAAACTACTTAAAAAGTAAACATTACAAAACTCAACTAATAAAGTTAAACTAACATAGTCTAAACTAATACAAAATATAAACTAATACAAAAATTAAGTTATTTAAATGTTTAACTACATGATACAATATAAATAAAAAACCTACAAACTAAGTATTAAAAATGTGGAACGAAAAGCATTGTTCATTGATCTCTAATTTTGTAATATCATGTTCTGATTGTGGAGATGGATGAATATTGAAATACTTAAAACATTATTTTGACTCGTGTTAACATGCAATACGCGTAAATATAAATCAACTTAACAAATATTGGAAACAATTACCTCCTTTTCAAGAATCAGTTATACACGCACAAATTATAACTTTCATCCAATACATGATATAGTAGCCACATCCAAAGGAGTATGTTTGCTTATTACAATGAATTAAGAAAAAAAAACATAATGTTATTTCAAAATTTAAATATAGATATTATAATAATATAACATATTTCACTACTTTTGTCTATTATATATGTTTAGAAGCATATTTTGCAAAAGTTGCTTTGGAGCCCTCTCTTCTTCGTTTTGTTTTCCTTTGTTTTATATGTTATACGTTCAAATCTGACGTCGAGTCAAAACTTATCATTTTTTAAATATTTTTTATTTTCTTTTTATTATCATAAAACCTTAAACCCCGTATACTTGAACTATCTTCTCTTCACATTATCTCATATCATTTTATTTCTTACTTACTCATTACTATTATATAATTGATACGAGCAACAAAAAACGTATGATTCAAACAATTAAACCGTGAAAACATAAAAATATAATGTATAAATCGTAAATTCACTCAAACACATAAATGAATAATCACAAACTACAATAGTTCAATTTCAATAACAATACAGTTGAGACATAACAAGACATTTATGTAATAATATGATTGAGATCCCTAGAAACAATCACATATTCAATTTCAATATAGAAGAAGAGACACATAGAACACTAACCTTAATTATACAAAAAACGTTCTAAAACTCGAATTTAATCGAAGAACAATGTCACTCATTGTAATCAAAATATATCTTAAGAAGAGTTGGTTTAATCGTTGTCATCATTATCACTCGAAAACCCTCATGTGTACGAGAAAAAGAAGCATTGGAGTGATAAAAATGTGACTTTTATGTTATACCTTGTAAATACCAATATAAAAATAATGTTTATTATTTAAAAAATGCTACCGTATTTTTTGAAATCAATAACGTAAAAAATCAATTTTATATTAATAAATAAATATATTTAATAATAATTAAGTTTAAAGAAACCAAAATAAAAAATACTAACTTAAATTAAAAAAAAATTAATAACATAATTACCCATCATCTCTCAAGAAACTCTATCACTAAAAATAAGTAAAGTTGAATTGATGTAACGAAGAGAGGTAGGGTGGAAGGATCATGTGAAAATGATAACAGAGTTAAGATATATGATTTGGTGGATAGTGGGACAAAGGGGGTGGATGAGACGATGAAGTGAGAAAGAAAGAGGGAGGAAACATATAGTATGATATGTATTTGACATGTTTATTTTTCTACAAAAGAGATATATATCATATGTTCGCTTTCAGGTAGAGAGTAATGAAAGTGACAAGTGCAGTCAGTGGCCACAATTTATGTAACTTGAAAATAGCGGTGCAGAACCAAGACAAAAAAACTACTAAACCTCACCCTCTATCGTCTTCAATCTTCTCTACTCTGTTTGTGGCACACCAACAGGTGCATGTGCGTGTCATGTACTACAATAGGTTTACACTCTAAACACGCTTTGTTTGTTACAGATCCTACTGTATTTAATGTGCCATGTTTCTAATATTTTCTTTTTAATATTACTTTACTTTTAATTCATATATAACCCTATACTAAATTCTTATCATTCAAGTTATTTTCTATAATAATTCATCTACTCCATTCTTTTATATTTAATTTTCTACCTTTTTTTTTCAAAAGCATTATTATATATCAACTAAACATATGTTAACAGGAATGCGATTATGGTGATATAATATTATACCTTTAAATAAAACTTTCCGTTTAATAATAATTACGGAAATAATTAAATGTCTATCATGAGTTATAAAATTTCTTCACTTTCATTTTCAACTTCCTGTCCAAGTGTTGATATATCATTAACTTAAGCTACTACCTGTTGTTGACACTAAAGAGGTATTTTTACAAATAAATAAATAAGAAAAATGAATATAAAATTACATGGTAAACATATATATGCATATAAAAAACATATTTTCTTGAATTAGTTTGCATTCTTATCAATTTATATGTATAATTTTATTATTATTATTATTATTATTTCATGGTATAATTAATTATTTAGTTACAAGACTTAACATTTAATTTACATAAAATATTTTTTAACATAATATTATCTTATTATCTAATATTGGAGGCAACGCTAAAGAAGGAGAAAATATCAAAACTTTGACATGAAAATTGATGTTAGGTTTGGTAACTAATTTAATTAACAATTAACAACTAAATTTAATCACTAGCTCATTCTGCCTTTGTTATAGTGGGTTCCTTCTTCTTTTAGAACAAGTTTCGTAATTGTTGTAATTTTTCCCCCATAAATACTTACACAAGAATAAAATAAATAATTAATAAAGATCATTTTGGAAAATTTAAAATGAATTATTTATAATTTTTAATATAGTTTATTCAAGAAACTGAATTTAACTTACTCACAAGATAAACAGTTGATGAAAGAGTTTTTTTTATCTCCTGTGCTAAAACTTGACTAGGAACCAAAAACCATCCCCCTACCAACTAATGGTGTTTTAGAAGCTATAAGAAGCTTCATTTGTGGATAAATATTATCTTGTCAAAGCAGTGATATGGTTGGAGAGTTTGATTAGCACTCACTCTACAAGAACTGATTTTTTTTCATATACCAACTACACATCCATGATGGTATATATGTACTACTACCAGTTGCTTGTGAAACATGCAATAGTGTTTGTTAACAAACAAAATGATAAGCATATAATGATACTCGAGCAGAGATTCGTAATGGGGAAGGTGGCTTTGATTATCAATTGATGCATTGGAAAGAAAGATTAAGATGAGAATGATGATGATTCATCATGGCTAATTAATTCACTCCACGTTTTAGTGCTACGTGGGTCTCTCATGCCGTTTTTGATCATCTGTGTAACATTCTTCACTGTCCCAAGCATTTAATACATATCATGAACAAATAAATAATTCCAAAGTACCTTGTGCTTATATAAAACAAAACAAACGTTAAGAAAGAAATGGCCTTTTTTCTAAGTTCCATCGTCAAAAGCTTGTAATAAAGGTCACACCCATAACGAGGGCACTGCCTTTAATCTAATAGGCTTCTGAATCATTTTTTTTAAAAATGATTGATTTGATTATAAATATTTATGTTTAATATGTTGGGAAATTCTTGTACTTTTGGACCTCACCTAGGTTAAAAAAGTGAACTTCAGTTGGTCTACTCTATCTGAAAAATACTAATATTAGGTTCCCATTGATAAGTGTAGATATTTCGAATATGGTAGTTGTATGTGGTTTAAAGAGGACATGAAGACAGAGAAGTCATATGTGGTGGGAGAATTGTGTGGTTCATTTGAAATGAGAGATTTTGTGGAATATGTGATGGATCTATTTCGTAAATCTTATTGTAGAATTTTGGTGTCAAGTTAGGTAGCCTCACCCAATGGGACAACATTAGATTTATTAGGGAGAAGTTTTTTTAAGTTTTTCAAACATAATAATCTTTTACAAAACAATATCGTTTTGTTTTCATTTTAATTTTTTAATAATATATCAACACACTTTTAAATATTTAAAGGATGGATAAATGTGAGAAACTTTAAATATATATATATATATATATATATATATATAATAATAAAATACAGAAAAAACTAAAATAATAAAAATTACAAAAGTCATATTTTCACTGTTCGTCAAAAACTCTACTTTAAAATTCTTTAACCAACAATAATAAACAATAATTTGAATGATGTTTTTCTTTTCAGTAATTTTTTTTTCATTGTTAATATGAAATTAAATTAATTAATTGTGTTTAGAAAGTTGAAATTAAAGTTATAAAATACAAGTTACAGAAAGAGTAATAATTTTTTATAGAATATTGTTGAATCTTAAGTGAGAGGGTGCATCTAAATGGAAGGGAATACTTGTGTTAGCCATTCCCAAAAATTGAAAAGAAAAAGGAGTGGGATGAATGGTGACAGGGGAGTTTTTTGGTTCCAAGAAAATGCTGAGAAAATCTGGAAGCAATGGTGGTGAGGACAATATAAAGAAAGACTTAAACGAGAGAAATGTGAAAGGAAGAGCGTACAGTTCCAACACCCATCTAGAATCCCTTGACTTTTGGACCCTCTTAACTCTCTCTCTCTCTCTCTCTCTCTCTTTCTCTGTATCTCATTTTAAATCTTCCTTGCCAAGGAATTAATATCATCATCACCCCACCCCTTTGAGCCAAACTCTGACGTCCCTCAACACATCATCACCTCAACGCTCCACCACCCTCCTCTCTTTTCAACACATATATTCATTCGTTCGTTCCTTCATTCTCTTTTTACCTCTAAAACAAAGCGGAGCAAAGAACCAACGCCATGCTTGATCCCAGGACACACCACCCCACCGATTCTTTTCAACTCTACGATGGAACCCGACACAAACCTGATACCACATGGGAACTCGCGAACTCTGTTATGTGGCCTTCCAAACCGGCTTTTGAGGAAGTAAACGTGGATGACTCTGGAATTTCTTCACCTCCCATGTGGACCACCAGCCCCCGACACCGCAACAGCAACCACCGAGGCCTTTCACCGACGTCCAGGACCCAGGCCATAGTCAGAGGGCAGAGGGAACTCATGGAAATGGTGAAGAACATGCCCGAGTCCAACTACGAGCTCTCCTTGAAGGACCTCGTCGAGCACCACAGGCTAGAGAACTCCCTGGAGGATAAGAGGAATTTGACCGTCTACAAGAGGGACAAAAGTGGTGGCGCTGCTGGTAAAAGGGTTGAGAATAAGATGGCACAGGTGAAGAGAAACGGGAACATTGACCGTGGAGGTTTTTACCTCAAAATGGGGCTTCCTTTTTCTCTGGGGTCTAAGGACAACAAGAAGAGCAAGAAGAAGAAGAAGAATGAGTCCTCTGGGAATAGTAGTTCGAGAGTTACCCCTAAACCTGATGGATCAACAAAAGGTGGCGTTGATAAGGACTGGTGGAAGAAGAGCCCTTCAGCGTATAAAGGGAGTGATAGTGGTGAATCCAGTATCAATAGTGACAGTTCCAAAAGTTCTGGTAGCACTAGTAGCAACAGCAGCAGCAATAGCAGGAGTGACCGCAGGTATGTTCTATCTTCATTCAAGCCACTTGAAAACAGAAATGCATTTTTTTTTGTTCTTTATATATATTTTTGAAATGAAATGAAGAGTTATCTCGAATTTATTTGGAGTGACTTGTTTCAGTGTTAATCAGTTAGTAATTAATGGCAAAGTTGATGAATTAAATCTGAAGGACAAAACTTACAAAGTTCTTTAGATGCGTTTTTATGCAATTCTCCAATCAAAACTCGGTTCCTACATGTTTTATGCTACCCTTTATGTAGTAAATGGCAGAACTGTACTGAAAGCATATAGGAAACTACATATTTTGTCCAAAACTTAAACAGAAACGTTCTTAGAGATTGAAAACTTAGTTTGTAGCAGATTGAATAAAACAAAAGTTATTTATACCAGATATAGTTTCTTGCTCAAAGATGAACCTTGCAGCCTTTTCCATTGGTTTTTGGTTCTGATAAGAACTAGATCAGAACATTCAGTTGTTTATCCTTCAAATTTAGCTGTTTCTTAGGAAACATTTGTGCTTGGAAGCTGAAAACATCATGATGTCTCGAAGGAAAATTTCAACGCATAAAAAAAGTGGCAACACGCATAGATTGTCTGGTCGATTGAACTTGCCTTAACATAGTATCTTAGTTGTTGCCACTACCAAGAGGAGATAGCATCTTTTTGGTGCTTGTTTTAAGGACTTTAATTTCAAGAAGAAAAGGTTATGTCCATACTCTACTGTTCAGTCTTCAAGTTGTTAGACAAAGAAAGTAAAAGCGGCAACAACTAGTTGCAATTATTTTCGTCCAATGCCAATTTGATTAAGCACGTCATTGGTGTAAAGCAACCTAGTATTAAATGTGTACTTTGAATTAGGAAAATCGAGTAACCAATTATGTAACTGCATTGTTTATGAATGGTGACAAGGGTAGTAAGTATAAATCTTGACCTACCAAATATTCACTTGCATGTTTGTGCTTGAAATTTGATGAGTTACTGATTAATTTTTGAATGTGATGCAGCCGTGAGAAGGGTGGTAGGCTTTGCTGGCCTTTCATTCGCAGACGCAAAAGCCAAACACAAAAATAAGACATGTTAGGTTCTGATGAAACACAGTGCTCCATGATGTTCATGTTCATGATCCTGGGAAGCTTTCCTCCCAAATTTTACTGCAAGTCGTTTGATGACTGTAGCATGTAACCTTTTATGAGTGATGATGAAGGTACACACCATCCAGGAATCTGGTAAAAATTTGTGGGGGACGAAATCTGTATAAATTTCACTGTGCTTCATGTAATTAAAGCTTTTCTGATTTCAAACCTGATAAGGCAAATACAAGCATGCCAAGAGAAGATTTACTAAGTTCCAATTTTTTATTTATACCCTTGGATGAATATGAATCTGCGTTTGGAAACATTTTATGATGCCTTGGATCCCAAAATTGAAGTGGTTGTTTCTTTAAGTTATAGATTTGCCAGTGATGCATAAGGATGAATTAATATGTTATTCTATTGTTGTATTTGAAAAATAAAATGTATTTCCTTTTCTTTTTATTCGTATTTAATCTAATTTCTCTATTTTTAAAACATTTCATTTGGTCCTCTGTTTTTTTTTTTTTTTTTTTTTTTTTTTTTTTTTTTTAATATTTACAGTTATGTTTCTATCAAATTAACACTAACAGACAAAGCCACGTTGATGAAATCGGATGGATATAAGATTAAAAATTGAGATTTTGAAAGTAGAGAAATTAAAATAACAATTACTAAAATTAATTTATGCATATGAGTGATATTTAAACTAACTTTTCATTTATATTAAAACTATTTTAGATAAATAATATACTAATTACAAACTAAAATATCCAACCACATATTTATTTTCTTTTAAATTATGTATTTTTACAACGTTTAGACATAAACATTTTTGTAATCATTTTTTTATAATTACCAGAAATTTAAAATAATAATTTAAAATAAAAAAATCTAGAGAGTTAAAATGATATTTAACTCCTTAAAGGCAAAGAACAATTTATTAGAGGACATATTTAAGAACTTTTGATAATTAAAGAATTAATTAAACTTAAAAAAAAACAAATTAAATATGTAAATAAAAAATATGATAAAAAAAGTAATTTAACCAAGTTTAAGTTTAAAATGTAGATTACATTAGAGAAAAACTCGATGTAAATTTATGTTTGGAATATTTTATCAATATAAATGATAAAGGTTATATATATATATATATATATATATATATATATATATATATATATATATATATATATATATAATTAAAATCATTCGTAATTCAAAAGTCTCTTTTTTGATAAACAATATAAATATATCATATATTTAAAATAATGAGTATAACTATTTTTTTTAAGTTATTTATTATATTTGTAAGATTGGATTCTCATTCATAAATTATAATGTGTTTTAAGTTATTTTTATTCTTATTTAGTCGCATAGCTTTTTATTTTATTTTTATATATTATTATTGATCTATCTTGGCAAATATATCAATAATAGTTAATTATAGTATAATGATCTTTTTTTAGTAAAAATGTCGATCCCACAATAAATGAGTTCAATTAAAATAAATAGTTTATCTCAAACAACATATATACAAGAATATCCATTTTATTCATGATTTATAGTAATGATTTATACTAAATTTGTATAAAAATAATATAATAGCAATAGATTGATTAGAAAAGATTTAAAAGAGAGAAGTTAGGATTGAATTTCATCTATCTCACTCTTCTATAATATGGATGAATATAAACATATAGCATTTTAATTTATCAACGTTGATCCAACACACAATAATTATTTATACTGATTCCTCACGTATAAAATTCCTCACATCTGTCCAACATTCTTTTCAAGTGTTAAAAATAATTGATATACTGAAATATATTCCTAGCATCACAATACATCAAGTATTTTTGTTTAGATTAGATTTTTAGAAATATTTTCCCGTCACGTCTAAAAATCACATTCACAAATCTATTGATCAGATAGAATCAAGCATTAAGAGCAAAACAAAAATGTCAATATTAAATAGAAAGAGAAAAACTATATATAGATATTACCAGATTTCATCCGAGTTCGAATCAATTACATTCAATTCCAAAAGAAAAGATTAGTTATTCATGGTAGTCATTGACATCTTAAGAGAAGAAGAAAAAAAATCCTAATCTTGTCAAAATCGGTGCCCCCCTATTTTTTCGTCGCCTCACATTCTAAACCACAAAGTATGTATACTGCACGAGTTCTCGCTTAAGTTAAATTATTCTCTCTTAAGCCATAATGACTTTTGAATTGATCGCTCTCTGGACGAATATCGCTCAAGCGACATAATTTTCACTTGGACGAGAATGACTTTCGAATTGATCGCTCTCTAGATGAATCTTGCTTAGGCGATACCATTCTAGCTTGAGAGCGAGTTGTGGTAGGATTTCATGTCTTTTTCCTCTGTTTCTTCCTTTCTTCTTCTTCTTTTAAGCCCCTTTCTCCTTCTCTCTTAATTTACCTGAAACATATATAAAATGAGGATCAAATGGTTTTCTTTTTAATTAAAACTAAAAAACATATGATTATATTTCATCATTCTTAAATTAGGAAAAATTGATACCAAATATACACAATTTGAAACAACAGTGTTATCATTTCATATGAAAATTTACTTCTTTTTGACACTTATCACTCTCCCAACCTAGCCTCTTGCTTGCCCCTCAAGCAAAATAATAAGATCCCAAACAACTTTTCAAAATTCAAACTTTAAATTTGGTTATTGAGAAATCATTTTCATCATTCCTCCAAGACGACTTTGCCTTCCTAACTATAGCTTCAAAATCAGAAGCAATTGATGAATCCAATTGTTAAATAGAAACAAGATAAAAGTGCAACAAATGTTTCAAGACAAGCAATTGTAATAACCATTGATTCGAACCAAGGAAAGTCTCTCTTAAATCTCACATGTATGTGTTTCTCTCATTTTCCACTAAAATTGAACAAATTGAAATTGTCAGTCATTTTCAATCAAACCACAAACACACAATCAAAATGAATCTTAAGGTCTTTTAAGGGTTGTAATGAGGTTGAACTTCAAAGAATTATGGTTTTTCATATAGAAAAAACACAACAAGAAAAGAAAGCATAACCACAATTTAGACCCACTTCCATTTCTACTATCAATTCATCACATCTCATACCTCAAAACACAATGTTCTTTCTTTTTCATTCATAATTCACTCTCAATTCAACATGTCTCGCTTTAAGCGAGATTCTTGTGGATTTTTTTTTCTTCTTCTTCTTTTAGAATAGTATATACATTTTTATACAAAACTAAGGAGTGAATTATATTACAAAATACTCAGCCCCTTTCTTTTTCTTTTCTAAGTATAATTCCACCAACCAATTCCCACTTTACAGTTGAATAAAATGCACCTATGCTCTCTATCCCTAAGTGTGCAAAGGGCAAGGATGATCATTAAAGTTAAGGTTAGGGTGCATAATTCAAAACAATTAGGCTCAAATGGGCTATCACAAAAGGATGATTATTTTTAGGTTGGTCGTTTGCCACTGAGTTATTTACATTCAACAAAAATGTCTTAATCATTTCCATGCTTCTAGTGTAATGTTATCTGAATGAAAACTCAAACAATATTAACTTGACAACAAATAGTGGAAACTCTCAAGCTATTTATGGATTCACACACTCACTGGGTTTTCTGGTTTCTTTCCTTGGTATATCACTTGTTGTTACAATTGATTATCTTGACCAATTATCCAACACTAGTATCCTAATCTCATTTAATTATGGATTCAACCAAAATTTTCCTATTTCTCCTCTGTGCTCAGTTTACTCAGTTGTTCTAATTTAGGGCACTTATTGAAACTTGATTTCTCTTTAATCAATTTCCTCAAGAAAGATTTTCTAATGATTCCCAAAAAAATTTGTTGTCTTTGTGTTATGTGCAAAATATTAAGCAAAAAGTAAAGTAAGCAAAAAGTAAAGTTAAACAGTTAATTCTAACTAATTAGATATGGTAGCAACATTCTAATAAAAACAACTAAAGCGGACTATTACTGAATACAAAAGTTCTACAGTACTTTAAAACAAAAAAATAAAACTGTATTTCATAGAGTTCTAGAGGGTGGAATAGTAATGTGTATCAATCTCCCCTCGTCACTTTGTCAGAATCAGTCTGAAACTCCTCCTCCTGAAGGTCCACTCCAACTGTCTCTTCCCCAGCAGCAAGGGCATCTCTATTTGCAGCTCTTGACGGTTCTTCACCTGTTGTGAATCCAATTTGATGGTTCTTCAGCAAGGACAATTTGACATTTTCCAGTGCATTTTTGAGAAAACATGAATATTTTGTGGACAGACTAAGTGTTGGCTATTTTAGACTTTATTACAAACGATTACAAATGAAGTATGAATCTTCTAATCTTGAAGTCCTTTGTTCTTAAATTATCATCAAAATCTTTTGACATCATATCCCTGCATTTTCAACAATCTCCCCCTTTTTGACGATGATCAAAATTTACTTTAAAGCCTCTTTGTAATAACCTGTTTTCAGTCACAACTATCATAGAAAAGATATTAAACATGCCAGGCTTTAAAATATTTTCTCCCCCTTTTTTATCATAAACAAAAAATAACAACAAACAAAAATAAACATGAAGCAAAACCAAAATCTCCCCTTAATAAATGCTTGAAAATAATTTGACTCCCCCTCAAGAAATCAATTGTGGATATTTATTTAGTCAAATCAACAATACAAATTGTAACATAGATTGAAAAAAAAAAGCTAATCCTATGGTAACAAGAGTCCTAAAATTCATCACTAAGGGAAACATTGTCAAATTGTAAGTCAAACTTGTGTTCTAGAGACGTTACACGTGAGTCCACACCCTGGATGAGATTCACAATCTCATGATGTCTATTTTTTGAGATGGTGAAGAATTCCTGCATCCTTTGGTTCATGTTTGAAACAAGATCTTCAAGGAAGGAGTGTGCTTCATGATGAGCACATTAACGGTTATAAACCCAAGAATCAAGGCAAAGAGATTTGTTGCCAA